ATGAATATATTTAAAAAGAAGCACTCGTGAATTATACACAGAGCTTATAGAAGTTCACGGGAGTTTTTGTAACTGCTGTTTCCAGTACTTCACACACCATGCCTAGAATACATTAAGCTTTCAGGTCAGTCTCATACAGTGCAAACTGGCATAGCTCTACTTGTTGGCATGACCTCCTTTCATTGCCTTCAGCAGAGATGCAATAATTCATACTGTAGTCAACAGTTTCTGAGTGTCAGTTCTGCAATCTCTTGCAAAAATATGAAAGGATGTGAACAGGTGTCCCTTCTCACCTGCATTTTTTTTCTAGTAATTCTCCCAATCTAGTCTTCTGACCCTGGTCCTCAACTTGAATTCCACAAAATCTAACTGGTTGATACTGACTTTCACATCCCTGGATGAGCTTTGTGGTTTAACTGCTTATAAATTGAGAAATATATGAGCCAGAAGCTATTGAACAACGAAACACAGACCTGCTCATTATCCCCTCAATCACAAGCACTTTTCAAGGTAAATCTGTACTTAAAATATCACTTCACTGACTGATGGTACTTGTTTATTATACAATAGTTATAAAGTCTCTAATAATGTGGTGTTTCATTCTCAGCAAAGAATCTTCCAAATTATCACTCAGGAGTAGTTTTAATGCAAGTGACACACTGTCATCAGTCTGCCTTCAAGATTACAGGCCTGGTTAAACAGCAGTCTTAAACAATAACAAACATGCAAGCTCAGGCGGTGCCCAGAATTAGGAAGAGAATACAGTCAGGCCTGGGGCATGTACTTACTGCAACTACAAGTAACCATCTTTTCCATGCAAAATGGGGGCACTGCTGGAAATGGACCTTTTAAGGCCTAAACGTGTGACTGAATTGTAGCTTTGCTTCAACAAGTACAAGAATTAAAACAGTACCTTTATTCTCTTCTGCATGAACCACTTTAAACAGCAAAAACCCCACATGAACTTTATGTCTTGTACCGTTTTGCCACTACTATTCTTCCGTCTTCCCTTCTTCCCTTCACATTTATCTCCTCTCACTTTTTCTGTTACTGTCAGTCTACTTCATCTACCAATTTTCCTGTTTCCCTCTATCATCACACAGATGGAGGCCTGCTTCCTCACACCCCCCAGCTGCCTCCAGTGTAGTCTCTCTGGCCAAGAACAACTGTGGCCTGTTCTGCTTTGCCTCTGAGTTGGTCTCATGGAATTAAAAACCCATGATTTCTACAACCACTGAACAGTGTAGTAGGAACCCATTTCAACTACTGTTTTTAACTATTTTACTGTGTTGCATGTACTGTGTTAGCGATTTTAATAGTCGCACAAGTCAGTTTTGTTTAGCTGTTCAGCAGCACTGTACAGCAGAAGGGGCTCAGTATGATGGGCTAAAACATATACTAAAAGCCCCTTCCAAAAGGCTGACTATCAGCACTCCAAAGGTACCAAAACCACCTTATGGCCTTGCTTCATGCACATCTAATAGCTGCCCGGTACGCGCGGCCGCTGTAAGAACTAACAGCAGATGCTCAGGTGTGATAGTGATGTTCTTGCTGACAAGTCTGGGGAGTTATGCCAACATACTGCATGTTGCTGTATGGATGAGAGTAGTAACAACAGTGTTGATTTTGGACAGATAGTGACTAAAGGTAGAAGTGGAAGGATGTGATGCTTAGGAGTCAATGCACTCCAGCACCAGAATTGGGGCAGGATAGCAACTTAGGAAGTTATGCTGTTCAGACACTACCACTGAGAAAGACAAAGAAGTTCTCAACAGAATCTATAATTATCTGGCCAACGTTGTGTAATGTAATTTCTTAAATAAAGTAATAGCAATTCTTCCCTCAAATTCATGAGAACACATTGCAGGATCACTACTTATTTTGTTTTCTTCACTGGTTGAACATGCAAGTTGCTTACTCAGTGTATCATAACTCCTGAAGTTAAGTTCCCAGGCTCCTGGGAACCAGGACAAGATACAGCTACCCTGGGAAGCACACCTGGGAAGATAGCAGGGTACAAAGCATACTTAAAAGAGGATTCTAGTTTTTCAAGCGCCCTCTGTCTTTTCAGGCCAAGCCACATACCCTGCTGTGAGAAATTCCTTCTCATTAGTAGTATCAGAGGACTATGGAAATGGACAGACTACGTTCTGATTTTCCATTCCATCCTACTATTTAACCACATATAAGATTTGCATCAGTTTCTCTATTTGTAGAATAATACAACAAAATAAATTTATAAAGTGCTCTAAGATACTTGCAGGAATGAACTGTGAATATGCTAATGTTAGTTACGGTAGACATGGAGTGGATTACTGAAAGGCTAGGGAATCTGAATAGCAGAAGTTTTACCATCACTAATTCTGATATCTATTTAACATGCAACTGAAGCAATGCAGAAAAAATTATTTCTGATAATTTCATAGGAATATTTGCAGATATTTCCTTGCTGTTTTTTACTGCTTTTAATTATGAAGCTAGACATGTTCTCGACATTGTCTGCAAAAAAATGGAGCATGGATTTTTAATGTCAGATATACAGTTCCCTTTCTGTGGATTTCAGTATTTCTTTCTTGTATAAAACATGCTAAAACGAAACAGTAGCAGTCCGTACAATTCTGAAACTATTGCTTTATGTCAAACACCTCATCTAAGCCATTTCCCATGCAAAAAGCTGAAAATCCAAAAACATCTGAAAGAAGTTAATGGGGCATGGGGGGAAGTTACCCGATTTGGAAGAGAGATTATAGCAATAACTAAGAACAGCAACTTGAACTGTGTATGGGGGAATGGTTCCTGGCAGCTAGATATATTAATGCACATCTAGATGCAATTGTGCAAATCCCTTCATGGTGGCAGCTCTAAAACCGTAAATGGTATGGCTGCAACAGTAAAACTTTGCACCAGAGCTAAGGGCATTTGATAAGAACTGCCAGGTGGGCAAAATAACCCCCCCTTTATATAGCATGTCACCAGTAGTAGGATAAAATTAGCATCTCACCAGTAACTTTTGTGGTTACTGGTAAATTCACTAAGATTAAAATGAGTATTTATTTAAATATTTCCAATATGCTAGGGGAAATGTGAACGGTTACAGCTCTGCTTAAGCAAGAGATGCAATTTGTGCAATGGGAATCTTGTAGAAGTATGCCGAATAATGTTTGTTAGTGCTTTCTCTGTTAATACCATAATCCCCAACATAGAGAAAGTCTACTCCTCGTTTAAAGAAAGCACTCACTCATTACTGGGTTCTTGTTCATCTCAGCTTTTTTTTTGGGTTGTTTTTAACATCACTATTTACAAAATTAAATATATAGTAATGGGAAGGAGACACAACATTGTAATTATGAATGGAGCAGAATCTTGTCAAGAAAAGTTTCCCTTGCCTCTCTTCCCTCTGTCATTTATTTGCTGCTATCTCATTTATACAGAACTTCAGCTGATATTCAAGGGTAGTTTTTGATCTGGTGAATACTGAACTGTGCTAATTGAAGTGACTTTTTTTTTATTGTTGTTGTTGTTTGTCTCTTAACTATAATTAAAATTTCTAATTGCAATTTACAACCGTGCCTGTAGTGTGTTGTACCACAGATGATATGCCAGAAGAGAGTTATGGCACCCTCCCAGAAGGTGAAGAATAATGGCTCTAGCACATGGGTGAATTACACAGTTCCTTAGTGAACACTGAGGACTAGCTTAAAAACCTCCTGGAGGCAAACAGTGGCTACCACATAATTATGTGACAAATAAGCCACAGCCCATGCAGTCTGTGAGCCTGATGGATGGGATTTTCAGATTTTTTTGTCTTCATCATTCATAATTTACTCAAGCATGATGCCACCAGTGATCAATATTAAAGGCCCTCAAGCGAAGGAAGCCAGCACAGAACACAGTTGCAGCATGTGTAACTTGGCAGGGAAGTACAGAATCTTATCTGCATTTCACCAGACTCAAGTTTCCAGCTCACTATGAGATCCAGGTACAGAGAACAAGACTATCTCATTTGTGCTTATTTCTGAGATATTAGGAGGATTCATTTGCTGTGTAGTCAGACCATGTAACTGGCAATTCCATGGGTAAAACCACATTCCATAACTTAAGTGGAGTATCATAGAGTCCTTTTGAGAAAGCAAATATAAAAAGTAGTCAGAGAAAAAAAAAAAAATATTCACATTGAAGGGATTTTTCAGTTTTTCCAATCCCACAAATAAATCTATTTCCTTTATGTCATTTTTGCTTATTTTACTTTTCAGAGTTAGGTAAACTGCACATCTGTCTTTGGCAAGCATGTTCTAGACCATGTAATGTTATTTTTACTGTCAAGATTTGCCTAGAAACACTTTCACCTATGCCCATATACTTAGCCACTTGGGGAGATACAATGTCTTAACCTTCTTGTTTGCCAAGTTAATAAATCCAGCGGTTGTGTAAGAAATAGAAAGATTTTGGTAATTTGAGTCTTTGGCACATACTGGAGGACAGAACAACAGCAGAGAAAGAGAAAGAAGGGATTTCACAAGAACAGGGTTTGAAATTTGACAGAGCTGTATGGTGTGAAGAAGGTGGCTGTACATTTCAGATTTGTGAAAATGAGACAGAAAATATATCAAGTAAAAAAGATGTTGCTTCAGATAATGTATAAATAAACTGTGAGTATACGCATTATGTATGTAAAATGCTTTAAAATGCATTGTTTCATTCACACAACATGCACAGTTAAAGATCAGAAATTAAAGCTTTTACCAACAAATCCAGGTCAGTGCTGACTACTGTATTCCTTAAATTAGTTCAAAATGAATGAACAAACTTCATTGTCAAAGAGCTAATACACCAGTGATTCTTAATTTATGGCAGAAATAATGTTCTCACTTTCTACAAAAGATCTACTGAACCGCTTACGGAAGTGCTGTTGCAGGAAAACAATGGCAGGTACAAGATGGTTCCTCCTACAGAGTCTACCAAGAGCAGCAACAATATCAGAGATCATTACACAAACTAACCTGTGGTGTCATTCCATGGCAGATATACACAATTGGGATATTCTCCGTGTCTGGCCCTTGATCAAGGCACAAATCACTTTTCAGGGAATTCTGCAGCTAAAATAAACAAAAAGAAAAAGAAATCAAGCAAGTTATAGATGAGAAAAAGATAGTGTGATTACTTTCTTTTCTTTCCAAAAAAACATACGTAGCTAAGCATGGAAACATGCAAAATTAAACATACTTGTAGTGAAGATATTGAAAAAGTAAGCACATGGACTAAGGTCTTCCTTGTAGATAATCTAACACTACTGATTTCAATAGAGTTCATCAATGTTTCAGGGAGGGTGGATTTCAAAAAGCCTCCAGAGATTGCAATAGTTTTTTTATACACATTTTTAAAATATTAAGTCTAATGAGTCTCTGGTACACACTACACAAAAGACGATATTTTTTTTACCAGTGCAGCTAGCTGAACAGTATGGATGGAGTTTCAAACATAGGAGAAAGCCCTGTAATTAAACAGCTTTTCAGAATCGCTCAGGAGAGTCTTTTGATTTCTGGAAATAATTCAAAAAAATCCTTTCTGCTGACACTTAAGAGACTTATGTTCAATTGGTATGCACTAGCTCTTCTTTGCATTATTCCAGGCTAACCCACGCACAGCAATCTAGCTATGAACAGACTGCAAAGTAGTTGGCCTTCTTCATTACAAAGCCCTGTATATTACTTAGCCAGTGCTGAGACAGAATATTCTGAAGGTGAAGTGCTAAATTAATGAGCACAGATAGCTGGAAAGTCTTTTTAGACTGAGGCCAAATATGTGGATTGCATACCCATGGGCATGTATAAAGGTGTTCAGTGGTATAAGATCAGAGAACATGAAAGAATTGTCTGATGGAGGGAGTGAAGAGGTGATGTGGTTTGCAGCCATCTGTGATAAACTGAGCAGTCCTGTCAGCTGAGTACAGGGGCCTCCTTTGAGGAAAACAAATTGGTATGCTTAGTAAGGAAGTCTGGAAATGCACTAGTAGGTAAGAAGTGTGGACAAGCCAAAGACTGAAGGCAGGCAGTGAATAACATCAAACCCATGAACTCATCTCTACAACATCTCCAACTCCAAACCTAACTCCAGTAATAGACAGGGCAAATCTCAACATTAAAGAAAAAATATGCATTGCCCTTATTTTTAGCTTCAAGCCTTGAGAATGAAATAAAGTTTCCTCTCACAAAGCTTTGTATTTCTTAGCCATAAATGTAACCACAACCATGACTCTAACTGTAATCAGATGTTAGGCCCCAGTCTCTATCCAAACCAACAATAAGTATCAGCCTTATTAATTCATGCCTAGATCCACCACTACCTTTGGCTTTTCAAAACCTCTTCCACAAACTCAAATTGTAATTCTTGTCGTACCCCTAATCTTATAACCTTTTCCACAACAATCCCCATAGTAAAGGAAGCAAAAAAAATCTGCCTTGACCAACATCAGCATGCGACTTAGCTGGAGGGCTGACCCAGTAATAAAACAGGTAAGAGAGACTTTAGAGTCCCAAGCTCTAAAAGAAACATGACCTTAACCCTAACAGCAGCTGTCTGGTGATCGATCAGGCATGACAGAAAAAGGGATGAAATACTATATTGCTTTTAACACTAGTCCTCTTCTTATGAGCCTTGAACACATAAAATGAGCTCTTCAGATTTAATTGCTCAAACTCTTATTCCAATCACAACTCTACAATTAACTTAGAATATCTGTAGAGAAATGATCTCTACAGAGAACAGAAAAACAAAAAAGCCACTGGCCTGTTAACTAATAACGCTGTCTCAAAATCTGAGGCCCAGACTCTTACTAACCATCCCTTTCCAAAATCTAATGGCTTTGTGGCAACCAACAATTAACTTGGGTAATGTAGTTTTAGACTACCAAGACTTAACCTTAATTACAATCCAAAATATAAGCAGGTCGCCAATCCCCATGCTGAAAAATGGAAATAATTAGTAAATACTGCCATTTGTTCCCTTTCAAACTTTGAGCCTTTCAGAATACAGAGATAAACTAGACTATTGAAATTCTGAATTCACAGAAATATCTCAAACATCAAGCTGAAATCAGGGACCCAGTCCCTACACTAAATACATCAGCTTCTGGCCAGCTGACTAAGATTAGAAGAAGATTAGAGATCCAAGCAATTCTTTTACTAAAACTGTTGGGGCACTTTATCTTTTTGTTTCATACAACAGTATTTCATAAAACGGTAAATTGTGTATTTCATAAAACATGTCTCCCCTCCCCCTGTACAGATACATTGCCATAAATGTCTGCTACTTCTTTTGTGTTAGTACAAATAATGAAATAAGGCCTAGTCCTCATATCTTTCTTAGCTGATGAGGCTACTCTCATACTGCAGACGAAGGACTGCATCATGTGCATTATCATGCAATACCTAAATATGCATGTTCTGCTGACCAGTGAGTTCAGTATTTCTGTCACAAACTCTTCTGATTCTTTTGGCTTGTATATTGATAGCAAGAAACCTTCAAAGGCTGATGAAGTCTCAGCAGAATATGAAGTCTTAGGGTGCCTTTTCACCGATTTTCATTTTGACTTACATGATGTGGAACTAATCCTGAGACTATGCAGCAAGAGCATTAACTATTCCATTTTGTCTTCTTTTTTATCTACTATCACTTCTACCTGCAGTCAAACACTTTTTAGCCAGAGGTACCTACAAGTAGAACCATGCACCTATTAGCTGCTATGCCTCCTTCTCCTGAGGAAACTCCACACCAGATTAGATCATGGCATTGCTGAGGGCAATTCCTCACAGTCTATGGAAGAGGCTCCTTGCACGCAGGTGTGACTTTGGCACCATTCTGAACTATTGTGGAATGTAACCATTATCTCATGCATTTGACAATAACCTAAACCTTTATTAGAAGTGTTTTTCTTTTTGATTGTATGAAAAGCCAGCACAATAATTTTAATTGATCATAAAAGGGGTCACAGAACTTTGTGGGGAATACATTCACTACATTTGCCAGAACAGAGCAGCTGCTCTTTAGCACCTTTATCAAAGGGTCTTCTCAGAGCCATACTGGCACACTCCACAACTCATACTTCTTTTTGTGGAGAAAAGTCTCAAACCAAATCTTTCACTTGTATGATCTGCTCTTACTAGTTGCATTTCCTAATTGGGAGACAAATGCAAAAAAGCAAATTTAATTCACAGGAATCAATTTTTGAGAATATAACACTGGATAGAGAATGTGCAAAGGACATTGTTGTGGTTTGAGCCTACTCAGCAGCTAAATGCCACACAGTCGCTCACCCACCCTCCCCCCACTTGGGAATGGGGAGGGAATTGGAGGGGCAAAGGGAGACCCCGGGGTTGAGATAAAAACAGTTTAATAACAGTAACAGAGTAATACACTGACAGCAGTATCAACGGGTGATGTACAACACAGCTGCTCACCGCCCGCCGACCGACACCCACCTGCTCCCGGCCCGCGATCCCGAACACATAGGCCCCGCGGTCACACTCCCGGAAGTGAGAGCCCCTCCTGGCCCACTCCTGCCTTTATATAGTGAGGGTAATGTCACGTGACACGGACTATCGGCCAATCGGGGCCCAGCCCTCCAGCTGTGCTCCCCCCGCCCCCGCACACAGGTGAGGGCACTGGGCCCTGGGGAGCCCCTGGGGTCTCAGGGGGCTGCAGCTCCTCCCGCTGCCAGACCAACGGGAATGCTAGTCCAGCCCCAACCAGGACAGACATCCTAGTTCTACTAGCTTATTATGGACCTGTATTAACTTACTATATGCTCATCTTCTATGTCATGCACACCTGCCCTCTCTGTTTAGATTGTCAGATTTCTAGGGGCAAGAACTGTCTTTGCTTTAATTAGCACAGTACAGCTCAAGTGTGATTTCAACATAGACAAGGGTACTACTGTCACACAAGTAATGATGATGACAGTGATTCCCAAATACGGCCATTTGATGTTCTAAATTAAGATCTGGCTGCAATATTAAGAAGCTTGCAGCTGAAATACTGAGCCTATTTTGTTAATTCACCTGCTGCCACAAACCTTCCAACTGACAGCTCCAACATGTCTAAAAAAATCATACCTTGAGTATCTCTGAGTGGAACAGGAGCCATAAAACAAGCAAACAAAAAATCAGGAAGATAATGTTCAGAATACCTCAGCATAAACTACAGCAGAGCAGCTGCCTCTGTCAACTAACCAGTCTACCAAATTATTTAACTAGTGAATTCAAGTTTATCCAAATCTTCTATGAGGGTCAGACATTGTCTTAATTAATTACTTCCACTATGACACCTTTCTCCCCACCATTTTAGAATGGGAAATGTAAACAAGATCCTTACCACCCCATAGGCGACAGTATCTGAATACATTCTCATTTCTGGATACACGCTGACAAGATACCACCTAAAGGTCTTGCATTGGAGCTTTTTCCTCAAGGCCTTCCTCTCAGAAATATCACCAATATCAATTCCGGAGTCCTGCACATAAAACAAAGGACAGAAAAGCAGAAAAGACATCAGTGATACACTTCTGTGTAACCTAATCATCCAGAGTCTTCCTCATTGCAAAAATGATTACAACCTATTATAATTATCGGCTTTTGGTTTCAAAGTGAGTCTGTTACCCACACACACTCCATAAGTGCCCCAATTAAGTATGATACAGGTCATCACAGCAGGGTCTCTTTCAAAGGCTGCTTTGGTCCATGGAACCACTCCCATTGACTTCAGTGAGGTTTAGATCTAACTTCCAATGAATATCACTGTTGTTCTCTAATTTCCTGGCACTTTCCAAATCCAAAAGTAATTGGCAGGAAGTAGCAAGTTTCCCTAGAAACAACCTTATTGATGGCATCCCACTGTGGCCTGATCATTAGTATACGGCACTTTCTGACCATTTCTGAAGTCTGGGTTTACTGCTTTGCTGCAAAGAGCAGAAGCTCTGCTCACCTTTCTGAAATATCACTTATTAAACTTCTCTTGTAATGTAAAAAGAGAAGTTCCTATTTTTGTTAAAAGCAATTGCAGAATAGTATCTCCCCTAATTTTTCTTCTCCTTTACATTTCTGGCTAACCTAATTTCCACTTATTGTAAGAGCAGATCATAAACCATGAGATTCATAGAGTCTCTCTATATAAAAATCAATAATTTATCACATTAAAATCATGCAGCAGAAATTTTGAGAGGGGGATCTAAGTGCAAATCCATGGCTGCTATTTGACAGGCAGAAAAATGAGACATTTTGCTCCACACTGTGCTCTACCACTTCTACCTCAGAACAAAATGCAGGATAAATACGTTTTCATAGGGTAACCCTATAATCTATCTACTTAAACAACAGCCTTTACTGGGCCATAAATGCCCCAAAGATTTTGTCAGCCGCCAGATAGGATTTTAAAATAACATTGGAAGCACTGAATTTTCTTAGTTACACATCAAAAAGGTATCTTTATACATATCTAGGTTTCTGAGCTGCTGAAGCAATGACTGCTTCCTACATCCCAAATCACTGAATTAATGTTAATCTGGAACAAGTATATTTTATTACGGAAGCATTTTCTGACTAGTGTAAAACCGACTTCCATATTAGCAAAGTATACTAAAAAGCAGGAAACTAAGGTCTGGCATAATTTAAATTAATCCTCAAAAATGATGAATCCCCTTCCCTCTAAGCCCTACATCATTCATAAAACTTTATGTGGAACTACTCCTTAAGTGATCATTTTTTCCTGACTTTTCTAGCAAGTGACTATCTAGAGGAACATGCTGTAGGGTGCTATAAGACAACCAACTGATCCCATGGACAAAGCCCACTCACGCACCACTCTGGCTGCACTTTCCAGTGTACCTGCCACTTGTGTGAAGGAAAAGGAGGATTCCAGCACTAACAAGGGTTCCTGGGATCAGGTGCTAAATTGGTCCAGGGCATCCAAACTCCTTTGTCATGCAACCCTGCAGACACCGATGCGTATTTTCTAACAGTTTATTGTATATGGTAAGACAGAGCATCTGGAGCCTCAGCAATCACATCCTCCCATGCAGTTGGAGAAGTAAAACATCTTTGCATGTGCCATGCTGGCTTTATCACCAGCAACAACTCAGTGTGTTCTCCAAAGCTGAGAATACGATGGGAGGAAAAAGAGATAAAAACAAACACAAAAATATAGGGGAGGACACATGGAGAGCACAGCTCTTGCTTCTGGGACTTGAAAAAATCCTTCCTTTGGGTTTTAAGTGCTTTTCTGAATCATCTAAGTAGTTACAATGCAGAAATCACCATGGTATTAGAGATCCCCATTTGAAGCCTGACTCAGTACTGCAGAGCCACCCACAGAGATCCCAAGAGGGCAGTCACAGCATACAGCACACCGCCAAATGAGTCTAACTCCTTTTTATTATTGTTAGCTCTCCAAGACAAAAACCTTTGGAAACATCTGACTGTGGGGCTTCTCAGAGTTCTGGGAATTCTTCCATGGAAAAACCAGGTCCTGTGGTTAACATATTGGAATAACATATTTTATGGAAAGTCCCAACTGTTACAATTGAATACATTTCTATTACCTACACAGTCCATTACCAGTGCACTATTTCATCAGCTTCCAGACAGAGAATCACTCCTGTAGTTATCCACTTGTGTAACAGTATTTAACCATGCTATCTGTCTGTCCTCTCTGCATGTCTCTCACAGTGATGTCTCAACATCTTTTTGCCTAAACTGAGGCTAGGTTTTATTTGAAAATTGTCCCTCTCTGGTATTTCACCTTTAATTTAATCTTGAGGTAAGCAAAGATGAAACAGAAATATTGTCATCCTGTCTGAGATCTAAATTTGACCTAATCCATCCCCAGACTTTCTCATCCACCATCTCTTTGTCCTCTACCTAACTGAAAGTCTGTATTACAAGTGTACCACAAGCTTTAAGTTATTTTTTTAGGTTGCTTCTTTACACTGAATACCTCCTCTTTCTACTTAAGTTTCTGTACCAGGCAGAAACTGCATTGCTCTTAACCTTCTGATGTATAAAAGAAGAATCCCACTAATGACGTAGGTTTTCTTTATATTGACTGATTCAATTACAGTGCTTGGGAGTGTGATTTTGTACTGTACTTTCCTCTTTCCCTTAAGAGGCCAGAAGTTTTTCTTAAACATGTACTTATTTCCTACTGCTCACTGCAGTTCAGTACTCACAATGTTTAGCAAGGGAAAAGAAAAAGAAGTCCCAGATCTTCCAGGCTTTTCCCCCGATTCTTGGCACTAGGCCTCGCACAGTGAACACAAAGATGCTTAGAACAACTTCCAATTACACAATTGATTTGGGATACATGAGCACTAGTCAGGATGTCAGAACAAAACAGAGCCCCAGCACTCTTCTAAGTCCTTCCCTGTTTTCCACATGGGGAAAGATGGAAGCTGGGTGAACAACACCTGAATGTACCCAGCTGTAAGCCACAGACACCATCTGACATGAAAACCTTCCGATGGTCACAAAGGTGCCGTACTGTCTCTGAATACCCTGTAGCAATTACTAGGTAATGAGTAGATTCAGGCTATATAGGCCTGTTACAACTGTGAAAACTAAGCTGTTTCCCAGTATATTTTAAATAAGTATGTGGGCATGTGTGCGTCTATTTGATTTGCTACGGCGGTGAGAAATACAAATGAAGGTTCTCTGTGCTACTGACTGTACATACACATAGTAATAGATTTCTCCCTACAACAGAGGCGTCTCATTACATGGCAGAAGAGAGTACCACTATGGGAAGCTGATTTAGCATTTGCCATTTCCAGCTTTTAAGTCTGCACTATGGTTTGACAGCAGTAGCCTTTGTGAAGATGAAGGGAAACTAAATCTGCATTGCAATTTATTCAAGCAGTTCAGTGCAATGATTAGTACATTTGCGGTCAGAAAATGACTAGAGGTTGAAGTAGTAAGAAAATTTATTATTCCTCTTCAAAACTGTGAACAAAACCAGTTTTGGCAGTACAAGATCTACCCTGCAAACACCTAGATACACTTTGTGACCTGAAGAAATCAGTTCAATCCACACACCGCATTTATTTTACCTTTGTTTAATAACAGATAATTGTTTCCTTTGTTTAATAAATGAGTTTTAAAAATTACAACAGGCTTATTTTTTTTTATCTATCGGCACAGTCAAGACTGCTACTATTACTTGTTAAGTTGTTGTTGTTGTTATTACTTGTTAAATGGAGATTTAGCCTTGTATTCTTCATAAACTTAATTTCTAAATTGCACTAACATTGCAATTTTGCACAAGATTAGGCACCATCACCATCATATCTGGATGAATATTATGCAAATGCATGTCTAATACTGTGTATCCTGGTTAGCAAAAGGAATTTCAAAGTTTTGTGTTAATGCTATGTTTGCAAGTCAAAAAAATGAAACAATAAATCAGTGAAAATCAGCCAATCTTCAGGAAAATAGCTAACTAAAAAATAGAAACCAAAATTTAAATCTATCAGGTTAATCACAAGTAAAATCCATTTGAAATTGTTTTGATGTAAAGTTACCCTATCTTCCAGAAATGTCTTTATCCTTGTATGCACTGCTGTGCAACTACTCAAAACACAGACCCTTAAAGATAGTTTGGATTCTGTGAACATGGGACTAACTTCCACAAAGGTTCTTTCCCTATACCTATGGGACAATAACTTCCCCACTGCAAAAATTATCTAGTTTTAACCATGAGAGATGAAGGAAACTATTTAAAGTAGCTGAATCAACACCAGCATTCATATATCTAGCTGGTTTTTGGTTTATAATCTTTTTTCCTTATTAAACTATAGAAGTTCAGCATTTTATTTATTAAACCACAAATTGCAGCAAAACCAGTTTCTTTGAACAGTATCAAAATCACTTAGAGATTTTATTAAAGAAAAAATAAATGGCCCAAGTTCATTTCTTAAGTCTACAACATTTGCTTTTGCTGTAAGGATGAAAACTGCACACTGTCAAGCCTCAAATTCAACTACACCCATGGTTTCCAAGCTCTAGGTGAAACAACCTATTCTACATGGATCCTGAATATTTTACAGTCACCTTTCTCAGAGCCCTACAGCTCTTAACAGTTCATAGATTACATACTATTTACTACAGAAATGAAGAACAACTACAATCAGATGTCAAACTGAGCTCTCACGTTAGTCATCCGACATTATCTTTTCAACCATTGCTTATCTATGGAAGAGAAATGTGGACAGGCAGGCCAAAAGGAAGTTGCAGCTGGATTCTGCAATATGTCATGACATCCATCAGCCACTCTTACTCTCATGTGAAATTACTCAAGAGCGATACGTCCACATTTGAATCAATAGATGTTAACACCCCTTGTCCCTTGGCAGAACTCCCCTCACAAATCTGGTGGAATTATAGCTCTCTGTGCTGGTCAATAAGTAACTCAAATTCAAAGAAAGATGTGTAATACAGATTTGATGCTTCTTTTTTCCACATTTCTGCAGCTACTTGATTAAAATCTCCATGAAGAGTCATCAATAAGAGTGATGAACTTGACAAGAAATTAATTTTTAAGGAACCTGAAGACAAAGATATTATTCTAGAATAAGAAACAACTACATATATATTTTTATATGTAAGTGTGTATGTATAGGTATATCTTATGCCTATATGTAAGACATACATACACGTATACAAGTAACAAAACCCTAGCAGAGTAGGAACCAACCTCAAAAGGATCTAAAGCCAAATTTTGTAAACACCTGTCTTTGTGACTCACCTCCTGGGGTATGTTCCACGCCATATAAACATGGCTCTTAAATTCATCCATCCAGACTTCAGCCACCCTCAGTGCATTTCTCCGGACATGAGCAGTTAGATCTTCTGTGTATGGTTTATGTGCTCTTTCAATGTGGGCAATCCTGGAGCAAGGTAGAACCTCAACACTCCCTCCACACTGCCATACCTAGGAAGAAAAAAATACATTCTGCTAGTGAGAGCTCCCTACACCACTGCCATCCTTTAGTAAATACACTGACAGTATTTTATTTCTATGTCTGCCATTGTTACAAGGGAGAATAACTAGTCAAGACTTATTTGACTGTACAGAGAGGTTTTTTTGGACAGTTGTGAGAGTAGTTATCACCTTGTCTTACCATGAATTATTGCCACTACTTAACCTTACTACAGAATGATTACATTACCAGTAGCCTCTCTTCACAATCTTCCTGGATCAATTTGGCTACTCTCAAGATTATTAATAAAATTATTTATAGGGTGTCCAAAACAATAGCATCTGAGTTCAAGTTTCAATGCTTTGCAGGCATTTCTCTAAGACTGTGCACAGTCTATCTCAATGCATAGATGCACTATTCAGAATCTCAAACTAGGCAGCCTTATATAAAATGGAAACTAAGCCAATCAACTTTTTAAGATCACTAAAGTTTCAGGTTCTAAGACAGCTAGGAATATAAATGCATCTTATGCTTTGCTTTAAACATGGCTCAGAAAAGATCAAGTTTATTTTTTTTGAGGGGTCACAAAGACTAAGACTGCCTAGTGAAAATGTTCTATGAACAATTTCAACACACACTGTTCTTCTAAATTATAATACATTTATAATGTAGGTTATTGTACCAGCTCAAGTGTGTTTCAGTTTTACCTACTACTACAGTTGAGCTCACGTCCATAATGTTAATCATAAGGATTGCATTCATTTCTGATTTTCTCTCTTTCTGCTTTCATCAAAGGAGAAAACCACTCTGGCAGCCTTAACATTCAGTGAAGTACTTCAGTTACTTTACACAGAAGCTCCTTTTCTGTGTATCTTGTATTATGTAAACTTCCTAACAAGATCAAGGCAGCCCATTCACACTGGTTGAGTGGATGCTGCTCAGGTGAAAACCCAGATGTACCCAAACTGTTTGATCCTGCTGAACAAGTACCTCAGTGTCCCAGAGGCAGGTGTACACACTGAAAAGTGACAGGGTTTGCCTTATGACACTGCTAGTAGAGATTCCTGAGGCTTACTATTCCATACCAAGAGATCAAAAGAAGAGAGTGAGGGTGCTCCTTCCCTGTATTGCTCATCCAGGAGAGAGTATATTCTGGTTTCCCTCCTGGTGGCCAGGGATGGGGGTTGGCAGAACATCATGTTCTGGAGCTGATCTCAGACTCCTTGGGTCTGTCCATCCTATATGCATCTGCTCTACCAAGGAGGCACTTTGTTCAGCCATTCATTTTATATATTTAGACATCTGGCTTGAATACAGCATTTAGGCATTTGGCAGCTCCTGAGACCAGAAAACGTGGCATGGATTCAGAATGTTTACAAAGCCTTTTCTGAACTGGTGCCTAATTGCATTCAGCATATGCTGGGAAGAGAGATAGAGCCTTGGTTTTCAGAGCTCTCTGGAAGATGAGCTATCCCATGAACCCACTGTACAGCCAAGAAGGGAGCTGAAAAGACTCTGGCATGTCTCTGCATCCAGAACTTGGAAAACCGTAAGAATAAACAAACATAACCATTACCAACATCAGGGAAGAACTGAGATGATCGTAAATATTTTAAAATAAATAGGCAATTGAACTGGCACAAGAATAAATAATCTGGAAACAACATTTGTGTCCTGTCTTTCTAAATATCATATGAAGTGGGCAATCCAGTTTAACAATCTAACAAAAGTAATAGTCAAACATTTATATCTAAATGGTTCAGCTTCATTTCCTAATAAAGATTAAATGTGAAGTGTCATCAGGCTTTGCTCACACAATGCCTGCTTTCAGTCCAAGCCATTTCTCAGTACAACATTGACATCCAGCTATTAATTGTTTCAGAGTTACTCACTGTACACGGTTTAAATTAGTATCATAAATGACAAGGAAGATGTAGAGATGGTCATAACTTAGCCCAGGACAAGAAAATTCACATACCACATGCACTGCCTACTCTGCCCAGCTTTTGCTTATTTTAACTAGGGATGGTCTTGATCCAAGTCCATCATGTGAACACCAAATCTTTTGTGGGATTTTCAGAGTTAGGCCTGAATGCTATCTTGACAACAAGCTGAGACAAAAATTTATGCTCTATAAAAAACTGAATTTCCAAGTAAATCTAGAATCTGAGAATCTGAAGAGTGGACTCATCTATAATTTTAGTACTGATTCAGTAATCAGTAAACTCTGATTTGACTTTATAATGAAGTCATGTGTTTTCAAAAAACATTCTGAGATTACAAAGTCTTTAATATAGTTTGTAAATAATAATTACCCCCATCTGAATAAACACTGGTTAATCAAATCTGGTAGCCACTCCTTTCTCTCAGACACTGTCACTCTTTATTCTATTTCCAAAGACTAATTAATTACTCTGCAAGAACCACATATTCACTTCAAAACTTAATGCTAAAATGAAGCTGTCAATACAGATGCTGACAAAACAGGTGGGTTGTATTAAACAGCTTCAAAATCAAATCCTATTATTTCTAAGAAAAAAAAATCCTGCAATCCATGAAAATGTGATTAGCATCCATCAAAACTGGACTAGAGTTATATGCTGATAGTTTCCATACACCAAGATGAATAAAAGTCCTTTAATTAATGACTCCTCAAAGAGGAGGACATGAGAAACATATGTGATCTGAAGATATGGGAATCAAATTGCAGTATGTGAGGAGCTTGCAGTTACAGCACTAAACAAATAGCACTACCCTAGATATAGGCTACAAAGGCTTGCAGAGCCCTCACAGAGTGAAAGCAGATGCAATACTTTATAAGGACAGAAAGCACAATCCTGACCTGCTCAGCTGGTCAAATCTAGGACAAGCCATAGTACCTTTCTCTCCCACAGGTGTTTTTCGCCAGTGGGATTACATTATAATGAGAAGGCTTTTTTCTCCAAACATTTAATTGCATTTAGGGAGAGGCCAGTTGCAAAGAAAGAAAATGTAGGTAGGCATTAAAGTGAGATTTTCAAATGACATGAAACTCTCTTGGAATCTCAAGGGATTCTGGATTCCCAACTCCCCAGAACATGTGCAAAATCTCCAGCCAAGGAATGAAGGGCTTTGCTAGTCATGCACTAAATATTAAGCACTATACTGAACAGGATATATGAATACTAAACAAAATAACATAACATGATTGACTGCTACAGAAAGCGTTTGGGTTTTTTCATTCTTCCCTGTTTATATTTGAAATAAGGGAATTTCTTGCAGCTAGGTCAAGAAAACCCATCCATTCTTTCTTGCTTTCCTTCTCAGACCAACTGTCCACTTGAATCTGACCACTCCTAGCTCGCCCCATCTCCTTTACTCGTGTAAACAAATCCATGGTACTTCAACCATTGTGTTGGAGCCATTGTGGATAGCTGGATAGTTTTTCAAGACATCTTGAAACGGTGTAAATCTCGTATCAAAAATGCATAGGAGAGACTAATTACTCTGAATCAATACCTTTTGGTCAAAGACAATTTTCAGGTTTTTTCAAATTAATGTTTTAATACTAAGAATTTTATTTTCTTAATGACTCAATTCAGAAGTTGCAAAGCCTTTTAGAGCAATCTGTTCTTCATCTAATAAAATTCCTGTAGACAAATACTGCCTTTATAGTTAAGAAATACGAACAGCAATTGAGGGGTCAATTCCTCACAACTTCACGTTTCCCCTGTGAATGTCACAGCTATTTTTTTTCTCTCATTAGTAATCTTTATTCAGGCTTCATCCATACTGAACAGCACCTTTCTAGTTCTCCAGCACTGATATTTTATGTGATGGCTATAAATAAATACAAAGGTTTAAAATCAGTGAAGCTTTTCCAAATTATCACCCATGACTTTAGTAGGAAGTATAAAGATAAAAGAGCTTCAAAGACTTTTTTTAACCACATAGAATGGTTTGAAGTAAAATGTTATATCTCTGAGCATACTGTTGCTGCAATCAGTAATACTTAATAACAAACCTGGTTGTACAAATTGCAAGGAAGAAACTTGATGAAATTCCTAAACTGTGGTTAAAAGAAAACACAGCATATTTTCCTGTTGCCCACAAAAATGTTTTACCTATGGTAGCAAAAGCTGTAAACTGCTAGCAATATTCTCAATTTCCTGCCAAATCCCTAAACATACATATACGCTTGTCAATAGCAAGTCACATTTCTTTCTGTAAAAGCCTCAGTTGCAAAACTGTACCAGTGGGTCTCAGGGTTAAAAAGTTTTCACGTTTTGTAACCTTATAAAGTTTTCAAGTGTGAGGGACTGCATATCTTTGGGAGTACTTAGTATGCTTGCTGGAGGCCCAGCAATGCAGAAAGTTTGCTTTTCTTTGGAGGAATTTCTTGAGGCTTGGGTCCTGCTGGTTCACTTTGCAAAAACAGTCTTTTAAAAAAAGAACACATCAGCTGGAGTTTCCCTTCCAAAGAGCTCTGAGAATCCACTTTAGTGTGTTTTCAATGCTCCTTTCCAAGAGAACCTTATAAAGGACTCTCTATTCTTGATTTTCCTGAGGAGGTTCATATGTTTGGTATAGTCCCAAGAAGGCCTTAGAGGGCTTCCTCTTCTTGAAATGGTTCCTTCATCATTAGCAAAAGGCAGTAAAATTCCATAAAAAATCTCAAGATGTAAAAGGACAGTAGTGCCAATGTGACTTCCAACACTCAGCAAAGCCTATGACCTAAACTAAGCAAAGCCAAGTGGGAGATGATAGGAGCATTAAATGAATACAGAGAAACTATTTGGGAAGAAAAAAAAAAGGGGGGGGGGGGGGCGGGGAGCAGGGGAGGGGACAGGAATCTTCCTTTTAGATCTTCAGTTGTTGTGGCTTATGTGGAGAATTTGTCCAAGCTCTAAGCACTTCTTACTGTTAATTTACCGAAGGTACATTTACACATAAGATGTAATTGTGGCCCTGCATCTGTGTGAATTTATGTTCACCAGGGTTAAAGTAGCCCCACAGAGCAAACAGCAAACAT